ATTAGCGGGAATGGTGTTGTGGGGATCTGCAGCGTGAGTTATCCTCGGGTATCTGGCTTCCTTAAGAATGGTAGAGTAGTTCTTGTTTTTCCCTGAGGTAATGCAGGGCTGGTAACCATCATCTTCTCACTGTCCATAGGTAGAGAAAATCCTCCTATACAATATATTTCTCAATTGGCTTAAGACAGCTAAAGTTTCTTTCTGTTGCTTATAGTTGCAAGTTCTTAATTCTTGTTTTTGGCTTCAGTTTGCTGCCTGTGGCCAGCAGCCACACGCAGGCGCATGCCTGGTGGCCATGTGCAGGCCCAGGGGCCATGCGCAGGCCTGGCAGCCACGCGCAGGCACAGGCCCTGCAGGCAGGCACAGGCCCTGTGGCCATGCACAGGCCCGGTGGCCATGCTCAGGCCCGGTGGCCACGCTCAGGCCTGGGGGCCATGCACTGGCCCGGCGGCCATGTGCAGGCCCGGCGGCCACATGTAGGCACAGGCCCAGCGACCACGCGCAGGCCCGGAGGCCAGACACCAGCCCTGGAGAGGCAGCAGAACACGAAGCAGAGCCCCGGCCGCCCAGGCCCGGAAGGGCCCTGCAGGCCCCAGGGGGACTGTGCAGGGCCCGGGGGGCCGCGCAGGGCCCGCTGCTGCCCTGCAGGGCCCAGGAGGCCCACGCAGGGTCCAGGGGGGCTGCGCAGGGCCTGCCGCCACCACGTAGGGCCTGGTGGTGGTCGTGGGGGGAATGCCTTTGGTAGATATTTTAAATGGAATTGTTTTCTTGAGTTCTTAGTCTGCTGTTAGTGTATAAAATTGTATAGAATTTTGCATATTGATTTTAACAATGTCTCTTTCCTGAACTACTTTATTTTAAAACTTATATATATATGTACACACACACATATATGTATATATATGCACATACATATATATACATACACACAAACGTGTATATATATATTTACATTCAGTCATCATACATATTTACAGCATCCAATATGGTTTTTCAAAGCATACATCCATTGCATATCAAGCAAATAAAAATATTATCATAGCCATCATCTTCAACAGAAAATTTTTTATTCTTGCACATACTTAAATTAATATATTGCTTCTAGGAGTTTTTTTTCATGGACAGATTTAGATTTTTCCTATTAAATGCCTTTTATTTCACTCTCTTGTCTGATTGCACTTATCAGGAAATCCGCACTATTTTGAAAAGGAATACAAAAAGTGGGTAGCCTTGTCTTGTTTCACTCTTTAATGAGAAAACTTTCAGCTTTTCCCCATTCAGTCTGATGTTAGCTATGGGTCTGTCATATATGCCTTTTTTTTGTATTGAAGATTCTCCCTTCTGTATCTATTTTCCTGAGGTCTTAATCATGTTGTATTTAACTGATTGCTTTTTCTCTAGATCAACTGATATAATCAT